CAGTCACCCGAGGCTGGAATCCAACCTGGGTCCCATGCACTGTGAGACAGCAGTGCTAACCACTAAACCAATGTGCCTTCAACAAATGCCATTGATGAAGGAAGAGAAAGCGTGAAGCATGTTTTGTGGCTTCATTTTCATATGTAGCCCAATTCTTTCTTTCTGGGAGATCCTGGTACTAATCTAAGCAAACACACTCAATGATAACATGCACCCTTCTGTAATGGCTGTGTTCCTGAGCAATGCCCATGGTGGCATGCTTCCTCTTTTCCTCCTTGTGAGCACCTGTCAGTGCTTACACACTCATACTAGTATCAGTCTTGGCTCTTGCCTTGAAATTACTCCGTTTTGGATTCAAGTCATCCTCTAGAGATGTAAGGCCAAAAATTATGGCTGATGCCCCAGTGCCAAACCATTACCAGAGGTGCCACCATTCAGTTATGATATTAAATTGATTGTCTTGGCCAATATCTTGAACTTAACTAACAACATTTAAGCATATTGAATGGTTTTGACCACTGATTGTTTCCTTCACTACAACAGTGGCTACATTTTAGATGTAATTCATTGGCTGTGAAGCACTCTAGAAGTAAATGATTGTCTGTAATGACATTAAAGCCTACTCTAGCCATTGGGTGAATTTAGTCAATTTCCAATTCTTTCAAGGTCTTATGAATACAGGAACATGATAATGATGAACTAACTATGGACAATGTTGCAGGCATTTACTCATAATTTTATTCTTCAGGCCTTTTGTTTTTAACAGAAGAAAACCATGAAACCTATTTAGTAAAGTTTCTGTGACATTGTCTAGAATCAGCACCATTAATTGTAACAGTATTATCTGTCTCTTTGTTGGTGATACTGGAAAGTTAAGTCCTTGCCTCTGACTGCACTATGGTGAGAGCTACATTTGTTTTACTGCCAACAAGGCCATTAAAAAATCTCACTGGTGTTGCCCACGTGTGTAAATTTAACAACTCTTCAACTCATGGCCGGGCAGGAATATCCTCGTTTATTCCCTCCAATAGTTCATATTTTTTAGTAAAGATTCAGATTACATAAAGAATGGCTGTTCTACTCTAGAGATAATAAGAACTGCCGCTGCTGGAGTCAGAGATAACACAGTGTGGAGATGGAGGAACACAGCAGGTCAGGCAGAATCAGAGAAGCAGGAAAGTTGACAGAGCAGGAAAATGGGGCATTTTTGAAGAAGGGTCCCGACCCAAAACGTCAGCTTTCCTGCTCCTCTGATACTGCCTGGCATGCTGTGTTCCTCCAGCTCCACACTGTGTTATCTATGTTCTACTCTAGGTTCTTTTCCTCTGATCTCTGTCGTCTTTTTCCAGTATCTGGGCAAAAGAACTATATATGACAAATGTTGGATTAATTCTGTATCGGAACTATTTCTCTAATTACTGTAATTGATTTCTTTGTAATAGTATACCATGGTACTATTATTTCCTTATCAATAACTCAATAAGCTGAACATATTACTTGCAACCAAGGCCAAAATGGCTTTTAAAAATGTCATTTTTCTTCATTTTCATGTCTGGCCCTTACAACTGTAGCTCCCACCAACACTATCTAAGCAATGATTCAGCATTCTACATGCATGTTGTTTAAAGCTCAGGCATACTTTATTACACTGAATCAAATTGTGGATTCAATATAAACCCAAAGTGGACAATTTTGGGTCTTTTGAACACTAACTCATTTTAAAAATGTGTTCATATCTTTTTGATTTGTGACGTTATTTGCGCAGCTGATTTTTTAAAATAAAAACTCACTGTTCCAGTTTAATCAAGATTTTGGGTCTAAGAGACAGGAGGGAAAAAGAAAGATAGATTGCAGAGGGTTGGGTCATACAATGCTGCCTAGCCACAACATCAGCATTTTGTACTTTTGTTCAACTTTTCCTTCAACTTTGTATGTTTATCTATTGTAAAAATAAACAGATAAATGTAATCCCATCTACAAGTTTTTTTTTAATTTCTTGCTGGATTTCAGAGAAAAATTCAAGGAAAAAGACTTAGGGATTTCATGTCACACTCTGTAATTGATGACCTGCACAGAATAAATTTTGTTTGCTTTGTGCTGTAGTATTGATCAAAATGATCTTATTTGATGTCTTTATCTTATTTTCCTAATAAATTTCACTGCATTTGAAATATTTTTCATTTATGTGAAATAAGCATGGCAGTATGTCATGTAACACTGTTCTAATTTTAATAGTAGGACTGCAAATAGTCCTTGTGTCTTTTTAATCAGTATTGTCATCAAGTGCTTTTCGTTCTTGAGTAAGAGAGACAGAGTTCCCAGCAGGTATGCAGTGATGCATCCTTAGTTTCAGTATCTTGCTGCCAAAAGCAGTATGATGAACCATAAGCTTGTTGAGTATTCTGCATGCAGAAGTTATGTTTTTGGGCTTGTTAATTCTTTGAGAGGATCCACCCCCAATATGTGAACATTCTCTTAAAGGTGTAAATCAAAAAAGAAGATGAAGGCCTTTCTGCACCTCTTCAGAGGACTTGCTGGCTAGTTTTGTTGCTTTTCAATAAAATGTTAAGTTCAGTTTAGCAGTCTGTTGTCAAATTCACATTGAAATTTAGTCCAAAATAAAAACACAAAGTGCTGGTGAAACTTAACATAAATAGCAAGAGAAACACAAGGTTAACATTTTGAGTCTAGGATGACTGTTCGGAAATTTGGCCACAAGTGGTACCCGGGCCACTTTAAGTGTATTTGCTTCCTGTTTTAAAACATTTCAGTCCATGAAAGCCCCAGGTAAATTGGGCAATTGAATGCAAAAATCAATTGTCCATATTTTGTATCATCATTACAGGGTAGGGCATAAAATTTGTTTTCAGGTAATCGAACTAATTGACAGGGCATAAGAATCCAAAACCACATGCTTCTAGTTTTATTAGTGCCAATTCAATTGTGGATATATATGTATTTTCATTTATATAGCACTTTTAACAGAATAAAATGTTCCAAGTTGCTTCATTGGAGTGATTATCAAATAAAGAAAATGACACCGAGTTATACAAGGAGATATTAGGACAGGTGGTCAAAAGAGTGATCGAAAATCTACATTTAAAGGATTGTTTTTTCAAAGAGAGGGGTAAAGAAGCTGAGGGTTAAGATGGAGTTCAAATGGTGGAGAGAAAGAAATCAAAGGTGTGCAAGAGGTAAGAATTGAAAGAATGCAGAGATTTTGGAATGTTATAGAATGTTATGGAGGAAATAACAGAGATAGGGAAAGGCCCAGCCCATTTTGGAATTTGTAAAGAAGAATGGGAAAATCCTCTTGCAAACATTCTCCCTGAATAAAGAAGGACTTTATTTTTCTCAATGTGTGCCAAACCACCTCACAGCCGACACAGTTCCAATGTGGGAGACAAAGACAGCAATTTCCACGCAGCAAGATCCCACAAATAACCCAATAAAAGACCCAATAATCTGTTTCCTTGGTGATGTTGTTTGAAAGGTGAATACTTGGGTGCACACTTTACTTTTCCTCCAGTAGTGCTAATGGATTTTTTTTTAAAAAACATACCATCAGAACCTAAATTTAACACAGCATTATCCTCACTCATTATTGGGGAGATAATGTGTTCAAATTCTGGACTGAGGCTAAATTCATCTTCCAAACCCCCTTCAACTGAGGGAAATGGGCACAAAAAGAATCCATACAAATAAATTCAAAGAATAAAAGATGCGAATACAGAGTTGCACAGTGTGAGGCAACAGGTCCTGTTCCCAACCCCCATTCCAACAGTTGTTCCTCTGGTTGGTATATAGACTGTGGCCCTACATCTGAGTCAGAGGGCTCGGGTTCAAGTCCTGCCTGTTCCGGAGGTGACTAGTAACATCTCTGACCAGATCTAGAAAAATACCTAATCCGCTGCGCTAAAAAGCTCCAGGACCTGTGGATAGGGCTTGCGAAACAGAAACCGAAATTGCTTGCTGGAAAAAAAAACTCAGCGGCTCCGGTTAACCCGTTTCGAAACCATCTCCTCTTCAGAACAAATGAAGATGGGAAAGTGTCAAATCGACAAGGGGAAGGGGGTGAGAGGATTGGAAGACTGTGCCAGCTCAGTCTGGCTGCTATAGAACAAAATCACTGGAAAAGGCAAAGCAGAGAGTGGAACACCAAGATAAAAGGAGGTCTGGTTATGTAAGTGTATGTGACTGTACTTAATAACTTGTGGATCAGGAGGTGATGGAGTGTGCCCTGGTCAGGAGATTCGTAACTGAGGGGAGTTGGAGAAAGCGAGACTGGAAATCATTCCCAGTTCGGAAAATTTGAGCGTGTGGATTTTTAGTGAGGTATCTGTAGCAGGTGTTGGGAGACATATCTATCGTTCTGCATTCCGGACGTGGTTACAACTTTCCCCGTGTTCATTTCAGTTCGAGGTGATATTTTTCAATTAAATCCGCATGGAGGACGTGCAGGGAAATGTTAAAGCGGTTTGTTAGTGCTGGAGCCTATCATCAGTGTTTTTTTCTTCTCAAAAGTCAGTCTGTGTAGAACCGAGTTCATTCTGGAGATCCTGGGAGGGCTTAATCTTCACTGTATGTGTTCTGTTCTGTCTAAGACTACTGTTTTATCACCATCCTGTTTAAACCAATTAGTCTGTCACACATCTTTCAACTTTGGTTATAAATGTGAAAAGATAGCTGTGTAATTGAATTCAGTTAAACATCCGGTCAGGTATCATTGGGTGGGACACAGTATTATGCATCTAATTAATTACCAAAGTTTTTTTTATAAAAATAAATACTTTATGATGTTCTTTATAAATGCTTTTGGAAGTCAGTGAGGAGAATGATACAGGCACATTTTATCCTTACTGAATCTTTTTTCTAGTTGTGACTGAAGGACTGATTGGTCCTTGTGTTCACTACAGTTCAGGACAGATGTGGTAAATTGCTGATTCTGCTCAACAACAGCACCGTCCCAGAAACACAGAGTGACAAAGCTTCAACTGGCCATGGTGAATCTGACTTCCTACCTTGAGGAGCATCTGAGGGACAGCTCTGGCAACAGGACAGAGCACAGCCGCAAGTACCAAGTAGCAAGCATGGCTCTCATCCTGCTGGTGTGTGGAGTCGGGATTGTGGGCAATATGCTGGTGGTCTTTGTGGTCCTCAGCACAAAACACATGCGAACCCCGACTAACTGTTACCTGGTAAGCCTGGCGGTCGCTGACTTGGTGGTGCTGATGGCTGCTGGTCTCCCCAACATCACCAACACCATCTACGGATCATGGGTCTATGGTTACATGGGCTGCCTGAGCATCACCTACCTGCAATACCTGGGCATTAATGTGTCTTCCTGTTCAATAACTGCATTCACTATTGAGAGATACATCGCTATCTGCCACCCTATGAAAGCTCAGTTTATCTGCACGACATCCAGAGCTAAAAAGATTATCCTGTTAGTCTGGGCTTTCATTTCTCTCTACTGTATGATGTGGCTTTTCCTGTTAGATATCAAACACACCAGCTACAAGGATATGACCGTGGTGATATGTGACTACAGAGTCTCCCGAAAATTTTACCTGCCCATTTATTTTCTTGATTTCATTCTGTTCTACATTGCTCCCCTGGTCCTGGCCATTGTCCTGTACTGGATGATCAGCAGGATCTTGTTTCTCAACCCCATCCACAGTGATCCGACAGAAAGCAACAAACACCAGAGTGATGGATCCATTGGCCACCAACAGACAAGTGACACCTTAACTCCCAACAGCACAGCCACTTCCAGGAAACAGGCAAGTACAATCAGCTTATGGCCTGCCATTTCACTGGGATCTCCCTGGGTCTGCCTTAGACTAGCCTCACTCTTGTCGTGAGTTGGAAGATTCCCACAAGAATATCTATTGCTTCTTTCTTTCAACCACCTGCCCCACAGCAGTTAGCTTCAATATGAACAGCAGGAAATGCTCTTAATACCCAAAGTGAAGTTAATTGATTGAAAATGCAGGGGTGAATTTTACCAGCTCCTTGGTGGTGGTGGGGTAGGGATCTGTCAGAGATATGGGGAACCAGGGTTAGAGAAAAGTGTGATAACAAGGTGTAGAGCTGGATGAACACAG